CAGGTCGAGTGACAGGCGCATTTGGTGGTGGCAGGTCGACTGGCAGGCGCATTTGACAGCCTCACATTTGATGCTGGGAAACCAAGAGTTCATTTCACAGGACTGACACTTTCACTACAGATGCTCTGCCTGACAGACCACAGAGCCTTATTTTGAGTTGAGCAGCCACATGTGGTATATTTATGACCATCTTGCACAAAAGTTACATTTATTGTGGTAAGATGAGTAACAAAAAAAGTCCATCTAAAACAAGGCAAACTCACTGTTAAAAAAAATCACTTAATCACTTAAATTGTGTATAATTTTGTTATTTTAAAGAGTTTAAAACAATTTAAAAATCATTTTATACAAATAAAAATATTTTGGTAGAATTAATTGCTAATTAAACAAAAGAATATAACTAAATCAATGCAAAAATAATTTAAAAAACAAAAATAATTTTAAGATATCAAAACAATTTTTGTAAAACTAATTGCTTTGAAGTATTTACAAATATGTGTTAAGTTGGTCAGGATGGTCATTGCAAAGTTTGTGAGGTTTACTAGTTAGTATTTATGGATTGTTTTATTGTTGTTAGCGGAAGTATGTGTCCTATGTGGTCTGGTAGACATGAAATGAATTCACTTGAATTAAGCTGTCTATAATCTTAATTTTATATAGTTCTTTTTAGTTAAATAAAATAACTCAAATTTAAAAACGTATTAAAAATACAGTATTAAAAATTAAAATAATAACAGTTTTAAGATATTAAAATATATTTTGTGAAACTAATTGCAAATTAAAAATTACAATTTAACTTTAAAAATAAAAAAATACAAATGTATTAAAAAATATAAAAAATAATTTTAAGATATTAAAATGAATTTTTGAAAAAAATTCTTTAATGTAAAATTGTCATCTAGTCATTGCAACAGCTGACTAGTCAGTTTGTGAGGTTCACTAGTTAATTTATCTGGTCTGTTTTTTGCTTTATCTGTAATAGTTGTCTTTAGCACAAGAATGTGTAGACATTAACTAATCCATATATACCTGGTTAACTCAACTAGTGCATTTGAAAATATGTATAGTTATGCACATCCCTAATTATACATATTTTTTATATTTTCCTCAATATGCATTGCAGTGTGTGCATGTCACTCACGTGGTGAAGGCAGGGTTAACCTTTGCCCCCAGGTAGTAAGAGTAAAGGATGAACATGCCAATCATGAATGCGAGGAAGACCATGATGAAGAGGACCATGAACTTGAAGATGTCCTTCACGGTTCGTCCCAGAGAGATCTGCAGCGGCCCGAAGCTCTCATTGGCCGGGAGGATGTAGGCGATACGAGAGAAGCTCAGGACCACAGCGATGGCGTACAGACCCTCAGAGATCAGTTGAGGATCCGATGGAAGCCACTTGTCTCTCGCTGAAAATACAGGAAATGTAGTTTTAGTTGTTTTACATTTATTTTGTTTCAAGTAATAAAAATGGTAAAAATTACTATGGTGTGCACACCCATCAGCAAATCCTTGCATGTAAAAAAATAATTACATTTAATCATGTTTTCATTCATAATATCATAAAACTACCAGTATTCATGCAGAGCGTAATGTTAATTGTTTGTGTGTGCGTGTGTTCTCTCAGATTCTCTTTGAAACAGAGCAGTGCTCAGATTCGCTCTCACCGTATGTGAAATATTTGATGTCCGGCGGCAGCGTGACCAGTGAGAGGTCTGGAGCGTGGATGTTCTCATCCACATACTCCTGGGCTTTCATTGCCTGTAGGAAGGCGAAAAAGCGGGCGGTGAATGCAGCGATGAAGATGGAGAGCATGCCGAAATCCAGAACATTCCACAGCTGCATGATATATTCCCTCGGACCCTCCGTCCAGAGCTCCTTACACTCCGACCACATCATTCCTGCAGAAAACAGAGGCGTTCTGATGGTCAACACTGCAGTAGCTTATACGAGCATTGTATGCAGTGTAGTTGAAAATAGAAAAAAGCTTATTTGTGCGAGTTGAATGAACTGAACAAGACCAGTTTTGCAGAGTAGTTATCATTTCTTGTGGTAGCTTCAAACTCAAGCAATTCAAGCATCTACACTGTACCAGAAAATACCCAACCATTCATCCTTCATTCTTTCTTTCTGACGGAAAACAGATTGATGGAAATGTGCTAGAAATGAACGTGTAAAAACAATGGAAGGCAATTCTGATGTATTTGTGTAGATATAGGAAAAATAGATGAGAATAGTAAAATCATAACCAGGTCACAAATTCAGAAAAAATTATTTTTGCAAAAGAAAATTGTATTGAAAATTGATAGACAATTAAGCACATTTCCACTCCAAAATTCACATAACCATTATGCATATGGGCATTTTATTATAGAGGTTTTTGTTTGTTTGTTTGTTTATCTTTGGCCCATGAAACTAATTTAATGTGTGAATTGTCATGATAAAACGTATTTAATTTTTGTTTTGAAATCAAATTATACACATTATTAATAAATAATTATACATTTGAATATTGATAAAATGAACTTTGCAATTTCACTCTGCAAATTTATAATTTATTTACTAAAAACTATCAAATAATTCCTTATTTCTTACATATTATTTTAAAAGGTAAAAATTGGGCATGGATTTGTAACATTTACCCAGTTGATCAGACAAGAAAATCATGGAGCTGACAAAACAGCGCAACTGATTGTGGACTGAGCTCATATTGAGATTTTGAGACATCAGAACATAAGAGGTGAGGAAGAGATAAAGAGAGAGAGAGAGAGAGAGAGAGAATTAATCAGACATATCAAAGAGCCTGAGGAGAACACAGTCTGATAGGAAAATTATGATGGAGCCTCAGTGAATTCTGTTAAAATTATTAACTACATTGCATTATATTTTTAATTTTAAATCGAAGCCAGAAGAACGCCAAAGGAAATCCAAGTAATGAAAACTTCACTCAATTCACTCTCACACTGAAAGCATGCTGGGATGGAAAGGGGATTTTCATCTCCAAAACTACCAACAACAAAAAAAGTCTAAATGCTTTATTTCAGCAGAAGCCATTCGAATGAGTGAGAACAGTGACCGGAGGTTGTGTTGAAGGGGGAACGGTCAGGGGTTCGGGTTCAGAGGAGGCATGTTCAGCCCTCAACCATCACCACAATATAATGGACCTTCCCACACACACTTCCACAATGTTACACTGGTATGAGCACTATAATCACATTCTGAAAAAACACACTTGAAATGAACATTCTAAACATACTATGAATGAACATTCTGAACACACTATGGGCAAACATTCTAAAAACACACATTCTGAACACACTATGGGCGAACATTCAAAAAACACACAAATGAATATTCTGAATACATACTTTGAACAAACAATCCTAACACACTATGAACATATTCTGAACACACTATCTTAAATTTAAAAAATGTAATTATCCATAAGCGTCGGGGTAAACTAAATGCATAAATCAAAGAAATTCAATTATCCATAAGCTTAGCGCACAGTCAAGTCACACTACTAATGGACTTCACGCATGGTCACTTCTGCAGTTAGAGCAGGTTTGATCGGTTAACACAAGCACAATAAGGATGGCTTTTACACTCATAACATGTCAAAGGTGTCATCATTGACTGAAAGACCGTCACTCCGTCACTATTCAGGTGGAAGCCAAGCAACGCTTTTGGATTTTTGCACCATGCAAGCAAACACTCAGCAAAAGTCACATGGTGTCATGAATTATTCAGAGACACTGCAGCAACAGCACATTATTATATTTGGTGACACTGACTCAATGTTAAACTCAATTTCAAACCTAGAAGATGGAAACAGTCCAAAAAAACCCTCTTAATAACCCTTAAAATAAAAAATAACAGATGCAAACAAACATCACATGGCAAGCAACACGTATCAGTTTCCCTTATCTAATGCGTTACCCCAGCATCTTGTCCTGGATGAAATGGCGAAACATTTTCTTACATCAAATGTAATGAGGTGCACTCAGCATGGGTGAACTCTCTGAACCACAAACGAAATAGGAAAATGTTCTAAACCCAATCCAATCTGCGGTTCGCCCTCTCAATGATGCATTGCCTGTGAAAAGCCTTGCATTACTAGATCCTTTCACAATGCGACAGTGATGAATGAACATTCCTCGTTTTAAATGACTCTAAAATAATATGCTGAACAGTGTTTGTTTGCTTGTTTTGAGTTTCTTAAAGTGAGTGTGGAACCTTGAAACGTTCTCAAAGATAAGCTCAGGTATCAGGTAGCCTAGTTCAGGTAACACGGTTTCAAAAAAAGAACTAACTAACTAACTAACTAACAAACACTGATAATAAGATAATTTCTTGAGCAGTATTTTAGCATATTAGAATGATTTCTGAAGGATCATGTAACACTGAAGGCTAGCGTAATGATGCTGAAAATTCAGCTTTGCATCACAGGAATAAATTACATTTTAAAATGTATTAAAATAGAAAACAGTTACTTTAAATTTTAATAATATTGCACAATTTTTTACTGTATTTTTGATAAAATAAATGGAGCCTTGGAGGGCATAAGAGACTTATTTCAAAAACATGAAAAAAAATCTGACCAACCCCAAACGTTTAACAACCCCAAAATTCAGTTGTATCAGGTACAAAAACAATAAGGATGCCAGTAACAGTGACGGAATATACACTAAATATACCTGCAAAACCTAAAAATATAAACATTTAATTACAAAAAAAGATGTAAAAAGCCATGCATGGGCAAAAATGACTCTTGAAAACTGTAGAAATATTACAAACGTCACTACTTTCAGAATGTTGCGGTTACACTTTATTTTAAGGTGTCCTTGTTAAAGTGTAATTATACATTTAAGTATAACTGAATAATATTAATTAACTACATGTACTTACTATATGGTTAGGGTTTGGCTTAGGGTTACTTCCATGTAATTATGCATAATAATTAATAGTAATTATAATAGTAAGTACATGTAACGTGTAACAAGGACACCTTAAAAAAAGTGTTACCAAAGTTACTACCCAGCAGTAATCTGGGAGGAAATGAGTGTTTAAGAAAACACATTATTTTCAGTCACTTCAGAGAACATTGGCTCTAATCCACTCAAACTCTCACTCTCTATCGGTCTCATCGGATCAAAACCATTGAAAGGTTCATTGATCAACCTGCTTAAGTCCTGAAGTGAGGAACTCTATTTCTGACAGTGTAGGAAAGAAATATTTTAGTGTTTATGTTAGTTGTACAAAGGGATCATGTAGAGCTGAAATCATATAAATGAATGAATATTGATTACAAATGTTGGTGCATTACCTGCTACCCAGACCATGATCAGTATTTCTGTCCAGGAGAATTGTGTGGTCTTGACTCTGAAGATCTGGAGCGGGTGGTCAGTGACGGTGACGTTGGGAAGGGTGGTGATGCCTTCAAACCGATCGGATGCATTGAACACCAGCAGACACAGGAAGATGATAAAGGAGGCCGCATGAGCAACAAACTTCATAAAAGGACTGCGTAGTATTTTACCAAGCTGAGAAAACATGGAAAAGATCAACAAATATGTTGAATAACAAACACAAACTCATTATACTGGAAAAACTATTTATTTGTGTAAAATTGACTTTGAAACAATTTTCACTCAGCAATCACTAGTAAATTTCACAAATAATTACAAAGACATGGCACATAAAACACTGAATTAAATATGAATTTTGAAATAGAAAGACTGTAAAACTCCAAAAATCTTTGTTTTATTTACAACTTTAAAAAATTGTTTGAATAGTGTAGCACTGCATGCATCTTAAAAATGGCAGATACTTTAGACAGCAGCATTATTTTGCTATCACTGAGGTACTGTTTTAGTTTGTATTAATATTTTAGATCAGTTTTTACTTTTATATTTTGTTTTCATTTTAATTTTAGTTAAAGGGTTAGTTCACCCCAAAATGCAAATTCTGTCATTAATTACTCACCCTCATGTCGTTCCAAACCCGTAAGACCTTCGTTCATCTTCCATGAACATAATCTGCGTAATCAGCGTTGTTTACGCTTAAGGGAAAGCGTGCGTATGCATTGTGATACTCTCTAAAATGGCGGAAGACGTAACTCGGGGGAGAAGTTATTCAATAGTTGAATAAATTATGTTATTTTTGTTTTCTTTGCACTCAAAAAGTATTCTCGTAGCTTAGTCAATTTGTTGTGCGCTTTCGTCATTTTTAGTAGTTTTTTGTTTTATATACTGCATGTCTCTATAATTTTTATTCATTCTTATTTCAGTTTTATTTAGTGCATCAAGTTAAATTAAATTAATATGAAAATGTTTCCTTGGCAACTATAGCTGAAATCATTTTTTTATTTTGTATTTTATTTCTGTTAACGTTTATTTTATTTCAATTTACATGAATGTTTTTAATTGTTTTGTGAAAAATTAACTGGACAGGAGATGAGAAAAATAAAGAGAGACTATGATAGCAGCATTCAAAAGTAGCTGTGTATTAGGGCTTTCAAAATGACTGAAAAACAAAATTCGAATATTCTACTTAAATATTATCAAAATTCGAATTATATTCAAATTTAAAAGGCATAATTTCAGTTAGGGGGAAAAAAGCTTTTGGCTTCTCTCCTAAAGCCACAAGAGGGCGCATCGAGCAAAATATTATGCACGTTTCTTCAAAGTGTAATAAAATAACACGACTATCTTTGAAAAAAAGTGCATAATGTTTAAAATAATGTTTATAAACCATATATAATTAATAAAGTTGCTTAAACAATTAACGTTTTTGCATTCGAATGTGGATTTTTTTTTAATTCGATGAATATTCGAAATTCAAATTTTTTTTGACAGCCCTACTGTGTATTCTGACACAATAAGACTTTTTGTAATTTATACATTGCAAATGTGTCACCTTACTGCCAGGGTTATTATAGTTAACTAAAACTAAAACCAAGGAAATATTTGTCTTTTTCATTTAGTTTAACCTGATGTATTAAAATAACTATTTAAAAAAAAAATGATTTCAAGTAACATTTTATGTTACTATTTTATTTTATGTTTACCATTTTATTTTATATTTTATGTTTTTATTTATAATTTTAGTTTTAGTTAACAATAATAACCATCATAGCAACAAAAGTGACTTCACAAAGTTGACATGATCTGCAAAGAAAATACTAATACTAAATAGATAAATAAACACTAAATAGACTATACTAATAAATATCAAGTGTGTCTAAAATGGTACTGCAGGACCCAGGCATGTTTTTGACAGGTTTTTAATGTGTCTTACTTTACTGCATGGGGCAAACCAATACCCCACAGCTAGCAGAGGGAGTCCCAGCGCCACCACCAAAACCACCAGACACTTCACTGCAATGGTTTGCTCCCGAAGACCAGACAGATTCTCATACCAGATCGTCAGCAACTGCTGCTGACAGTTCGGATGAGCCACAAACTGCAGAAACAGAGACAGATTCATGATATAACTGTAGGCATTTGGTAGCACCTTACTTGAAGCCTTTATGTATATTGCATATTCATTTATAATGTACATGGTAAAGCATTATATCTTTTCATGTATAATTATAACTAAAGCTAAAATGCATTTTAATATTTGTAGATTCCTTGTTACATCGGAAATTGGTTGTTTGTGTTTTAAAGCATTATACTTTCTAAAGGTGTAGCAATTAATGGATAAATATTATAATGTACTGTGTATCTGTGTTTACAATTATACTATGCATTGCAAGGTGCATTACAGGGCCTAAGTAATACATTAAAAATACATTTATAATTCATTATGTATAAAGGCTTCAAATAAAGCTTTACTGTATTCATAATAATTCTATTCAGCAAGGCCCCATTAAATTGATCAAGTGACAGTAAATGCATAATGATAAATATACAAAATATCCATTTTAAATAAATGCTTTTCTTATGAATTTTCTATTCATAAAAGTATCCTGAAAAAATAAAATAGTTTCCACAAACACAACTGTTTTCAACATTGATAATCATAAAAAATGAGCAGCAAATCAGCATATCAGAATGAAATCTGTAGGATCATGTGACACTGAAGCCTGGAGTAATGATGCAAAAAATTCAGCTTCGCATCACAGAAATAAATTACATTTGAACATATATTCAGATGGAAATGGTTATTTTGAATTGTAAAAATTTTTATTAAATAAATGCAGCCTTGGTGAGCATAAGGTTTTTTTCCCTCTACACTCACAGAAAAAAAAAGGTACAAAAGTTGTCACTGTGGCAGTACTTTTTCAAAAGTAGGTACTAATATGTACCTATAAGGTACCAAACTGGACTCTATAAGTACAAATGTGTACCTTTTGAATTGATGCAAACTAGTTAAAAATCGCTGTTTAACACTACAAATAATGTCTGGTATGACCATAAACACTGGAATATGGCTTTGTTTAAAGATATAACTTTGCGTGCGAGGATGGCATCTTGCAAAGTTTGCTCAAGACGTCTCCATAGCAACAAACCACGGAGACATCCCAGCGCACACGTAACTCATCTGTGCTGAATGGTGCAGAAACGAGTTCTGCTCAATATTATGTTATGTGGAATCACTGACCAATGAACTGGACAGGAAGGACAACAAAGAGAGGCTGTGAAAGCAGTTCAGTGGTCCAGTCCTGCTCTTAAACATTCAGCAGATCCTTCACCATAGATGACCATTCAAAAGTAGCTGTGCATTCGGCCAAATAATAAAAAAGAAATGCATATAACTTCAAATCAAATGGTGTCAAATGGTCTTAGATTTAGCTTACTATAATAACCCTGTTAATGTAAGAAGATTAATTAAATCTAAGACCATTTGAGACCGTTTTAAATTATATGCATTTTTAAGAAAACATTTTTCATTTTAATCACTGTCCTAAACACTTTAGTTGTTTTTTTGCAATAATAATAATAATAATAAATGTATTATTTTATTTCAACTAGCTAACTGCCAAGAAAACATTTCTTATTAGTTTTTCTAATTACTTTACCTTGATGTACTAAAACCTATAAGTAAAAAAATAATAAAAACTATAGACATTTTTTAAAAAGAAAAACCTTACAAAGACAAAAACACAACAAAATTACAAAAACTTTGATTAAAATTTTAATTTAAATGAAAATATTAAATATTAAAATAAACAAATTATTCACAATATTCATAAAAACTATACTAGTGTTATAAGTTATTACTGTAAATGTTTTGGAGGCTCTTAAAATAATTATTTTCAACTTTCTTTCACATAACAAGTCACATTAGTAAATGACATCTTGCTGAAGCAATACGTTTTTTTATTTAAGAGTGTTAATGAGAAGTTTTGCTACCAAAGTTCACGAAAACCCTCTCCATTCCACACCGGTGTCAGAGAATCCAACACGTGTTTTGTGGGCCATGTACACACACACACACACACACACACACACACACACACACACACACACA